CAAAAGAAAATGTGGGGCCCTGCGGTCCCCTCCCACTCTGCTCTGGTTTGAGGTCTGAGATGTGACTGTTTTGTTCCTACATGTGTGCTCACCAAGATGTGCTGCCATATCTGCGGGATGCTCTTTGCCAACGGGAAGAGAACTGCACAGGCAACCAAAGGTGGCTCCTGATGTGACTCCAGGGTTACCAGCTTACAGACATCCAGCAGGCCAGGAGGTCAAGAATTTCTGATTTGTGGTAAAATTTAGGTTATTTCTAGTAGTCCTTCATTCCATGAACATGTCATCAGATATCGCCAGTAGTTCATAACATGACAAAAGTTATACACCAAGCCTTATGTTCCAGAACTTAGGACAGGGCCTGGTATTTGGTAAAAGCTTAACAGATAGGCACTAAATAGGTAAATAATAAGATCCCAAAGAGAAATTCCTTTTTGTCTTAGACCAGGCTGACAATCTGAGCATAGTTGACTTGCTCAGAAATATCAATTAATCCTCTGTACTTCAATGTCCTCATCTGTCCTGCAATTCCTGAGAAGAATGTGATTGGCTCAGTTATTTCCATGACAACCAGCTCTGCAGCCATCCCACTTCCCAGCACCACTCACTGAACGTTTAACACCAGGCACTTCCACGCTAGCTCACTCGATCGATCCTATCCTCCTCTTCCACACACACCAGCCACGTTCAGCATACTTTTTCCATCGAGGATTATGCAAAAAATATTTTCTGCTTAGCAAGCCAGACACAGTCTCTGTTGCCACTGCTTAACTTTGCCATTATGGGGCAAAAGCAGCCACAGATAACATGTAAACAAATGAACAGAGCTATGTTCCAATAAAACTTTACTCATGAACTAAAATTTGAATTCCACAAAATGTTCCTATGTCACAAAACATTTGAATTTTTCCTACCATTAAAAAATGTAAAAACCCTTAGTAACTCCAGGGCTTAAAAAACAGGGGGCAGGTTGGACTCCCCCAAAGATCCAGACCTTTCCTAGGAGGCTGCTTTGACCCAGGTTCAGAGGCTGGAAAGCAGCTGTAAGGGCTCATTGACCCTTTCTGTAAAAAAGGTTCTGCAGAATCAGCTAGCTGACTTCTCTCGACTCTTTCTTCTTCCCTGCAATTTTAACTTAAAAGTGACTTGAAATTAAAAGAATTGAGATAGCAAGGTTTATGCCACACACTTGCTAATATTTAATTAATCGTAATGGTGCTGACTAATAAAAAGTGTTTTCACTTCATTAAAAAATTAAAGTCTTCTCATCTCAGAGTCATTTCTCTATCAAGTTTAATTGACATGCAATTCTACTATTTCCCTTCATCCTCCTGACTCAAATTTTGCCTAATGAATAAAACAAACAGAAAGAGTGAATTATCAGATTTCATCCATAAGAAAGGTTTTTAAAAACTATTAAAAAGAGCCAGGGGGCTAGGGATGTGGCTCAAGTGGTAGCACGCTCGCCTGGCATGCGTGCAGCCCGGGTTTGATCCTTAGCACCACATACAAACAAAGATGTTGTGTCCGCTGATAACTAAAAAATAAATATTAAAAAAAAAGAGCCAGGTGTAATGATACACCCACCATATGAGAGACATTTAAAAAGCAGACAGAAAAGCAGAGTTAAAAGAACGTTCACCAAGACATTCACAGTGGTTATACCTGTGTGCCAGGAGATGAAATAATTTTTACCTTCTTGTTTATTTTTCTGTACTTTTTAATTGATTTTGCAATGAGAATGTTTAAAGTTTAAAAAAAAAAAAAAGACTTATTAGAATGTACATCACCAAGAGTGAGGCCTAACATAAACTAAGAACTTTGGGTGATAAACATGTGCCAAGGCAGGTTCAATAACTGTCATGAGTGGCCCAGTCTGGTGTGAGGTACTCATGGTGGGGAAGGCTGTGCTTGTGTAGAATGTGGGGGTGGGGATTAAGGTTTGAGAGCATCTCCCAAAAGCATGTGTTGGAAACTCAATCCCCAATGCAACAGTGTTGAGAGGAAGAGCCTGATGGGATGATGCGAGCTCAATGCCCTTCAATGCCTTTGGCTACGTTGAGGCAGCAAGAAGCCCTTGAGCATGTAGTCCCTAGATCTTAGACCTCCTGGCCCCCAGAACTGTGAGCCAATAAAAAGCATCTATAAATTGCCCAGTCTGTGTTATTTTATTATGGCAACATGAAACAGAACAGGATAGAAACTTTTCTATATTTTCAGGTCAATTTTTCTGTGAAACTAAAACTGCTGTAAAAAATTAAGTCTCTTTAACAAACAGACATATTAAAAGAATTCTCATTCAAGCAATTCAAAAGTTCTGTTCACTAGAAGTAATTTGAGTAGCATAGAAGTCAAGTGGGAAGGCTTTTATCAGAAGTGGTTTCAAAACACTGCAGATTGCTCAACACTTGGGGTAGCTGGGAGGAGTACTGCACACAGCCCCGCCTGCCAGTTCACTGAAGTTACCCACCAGAAACAGTGAAGAATGCACTCTCCTCTTCTGAGCACCTATTTTGTGCATTCACCCTGAGCATACTCTACAGCTTTTCTCCTGTTATTTCTGACTCAGTAGAATATTTTCAGTAAAAGCTTAGAGGACACAGTCCAGGTTAGATTATCAAGGGCTCCAGAAAAGCAATTTAACACTTTGTCTTAGATTAGCTTTAAAATAAGAGTTCTAAGCCAGTTTAAGGAGCCTTGATGGAAGAACGCATACCAAGATAAGAGTCTGATGATGAGCACTTGTTACATCAGAGACATTCTGATGCAAGTCTGAGAACAAGACCTGAATTGGAATAAATAAATGGGAAAATACTACATTTTTATCTTTTCAATACATTATAACCTATATTTCCTATAGTTCATCACATGCATACTTGTATATCACGTGCAGGTGTATATACACATATACCTTATTTTTTAAAAAAATATTTTTTATAGTTATAGATGGACACAATACCTTTATGTTATTTATTAATCTTAATATGATGCTGAGGATCGAACCCAGGGCCTCACACTTCTAGGCAAGCACTCTACAACTGAGCTACATGTAACCCCAACCCCTACACCTTTATTTTTAAAAGAGTTTAAAAAAACAAGAGGCCTAAAGTCCATTATATCAAACATACACCCTATGGTGGGAACTAAGTGAATGAGATCCTACAATTTCAATTGCTGAAAAAGAAAGCCAGCCTTAACAACCAAATCCTTAAGCCTGACTGAAGAGACCTGGCACCATTATAAGAATTTACAAACTATGACTAGTATGTAAGTACAAGTATCTTAAATTAACAACGGAGTAGTAACAAGTTCATAGTGGAAAGTGAGTCCCTAATATCTCATGGTTCCAAATCACAATTTTTCAACAATCTACTGTCAAGTCAATACTATGTATGAATTTCAGTGCAAATCAAACTCAAAATTCATAAAGGCAGGAGTAATCATTTACACATTATGTCTAACAATACAAATTGTTACACTGGGAAAAATAGGTGCCCTTAACTTAAGCTTAATATGAATGGCATTTGTTCAAACTTGGCATTACATACACAGACCTAGAGCAAGCATTTGCTGGTACCTTGACATTAACATCACTGAGATTAGTGTTTAACCTGGTAGAGCATGTTTGTTAGTTTCCCTTGATAAACTTTTAAAATTTAAAAGTACAGTTTATTTTGGAGCACTGGTAATGACATTTTTAAAGAGACAGGCACTCTCTTCAGTAATTAAGACTTTTTTGCCTGGGCAGTTTTCCTACAATTACAAAATTATCTCACCACAGAAGTAGTTGAATGATAAAACACAAGGACTCTCAAATTAAAGCCCCTGGGTTAGTTCTCAGGAGGTGCATTACAAAAGATTCACAAGAAACAAACCCAAAATGATGGAGAAGCATCAGACCAAGTTAAGAACACTGCTATGGCCTTAAAAAAACAGCCACACCTTAAGCCTCCCAGTGCCTAGAACTTCTGGAGGAAGTGCCCAATATTTCCTAGCCATGTTTTGCTTTCAGGCTTTCAGATGTTAATATGTGAGAAGCAAGACGTGATTCAATTTAAGACAACCTAATAGGAATGCTTATTCAAAAAACTTAACTTGCTTTTAAAGGAGTCACACCACAACCCTCCAATACCTGAAGAGCTTGAACAGGGCACTGGTCTGAACTACAATCAACGTAAGTGCAGAATTCACACAGATACCTACACAGAATACCTACAGAATGACACTGACAAATTTTTGTCTTCTCAACCATCCTAATGTGATTTCTTTTAGTATCCCCATTGTTTAAATTGAGGATTTCACTGCTGAGGTCAGGTACCCTGCTCAAAGTCATGAAATCAGAAGCAGGATCTGAGCCTAGTCAATGAAAGACAACAATTTAAATGCCCCACTTTAAGGTAGGACATATGGCTCCTGACTCTGCATCTGTACTCCTCAAGCCCGGGCCTGTTTCCTGGCCAGTTCTCCTTTAAAAAGGGCCTGCTCTTGCCCTGTTCCATTTTCCAGAACTGTTGTGAGATCACAAAATTAATGAATGAAAATCTTCTGAAAAATTAAATGCATTTTAGTGTGCCATGTGCTAAATATAACCAATTCTAAGTATTCCAAGGATACAAAAATTACTTTCTAAAATATAGAGTAACCAGTGTTTTCTTTGCAGCCACTTGGAGAGTCTTTTATGGTATATAACTAGTGACACCTGTAAAGTGACAAAACCACCACATAGGAAGTTGAGGTCTTAGTTGCAAAGCAAAACACCTGGACAGTAAAATAAAAAACAAATTTGACGTTTCTTGTCGAGGACAGTCAAGCAGGTTCAAATACAAAAATACGTTATCAGTAGAAGTCTGTACCCAGGAAACACATTTTCTCTTTAATAAAAATATTCTTGATTTTAAAGAACATATTAAAATGATTGTTTTAAGTTCAAAATGAGAAAACCTGAGAGAACAGGATCATGATGTCTTTAAAATGTACAAAGAACCAGAATTCTTTCTTACCTCCCACATGTATACATTATTCTTAACCTGAGATCTTTTTTTCTTATCACCAACAAATGGCCCAAACTTTTTGCCTTTTAAAATTGGTTTAGTGGCCCAGACACCTAGAAAATAAAACCAATATTTTTAAATGTATTGCAATTATTTTAAAGATTGAAAGCATTGAATGAAATCAATTCAATTTCACGAAACAGTTAAAAAGCTATATTCCCTAAAAGTAAGATAATGTTAAATCAACTGAGATAAATCAAATTACATCAAATCCTCAATAGGGATTTTTATTTTTCTTCTTTATACTTTTCAATATTTTCTAAATAGGTTTAAAGAACCTATATTGTGTTATAACCCGAAAAAGTTTTATATTTAATTTTTCCAGGTAAGACTACTCATATAGTACAATCACAAACACTTCGAAAACAATCACAACTGAAGAGAAAAGATATTAGAATGGAATAAAACTAAAACAATTTAAACTTTTCATGCCAGTCAAGGCAGTGCACACTGGTAGTCCCTGCAACTCAGGAAGCTGAGGCAGTAGGATCACAAGTTCCAACCTCAGAAACTTGGTGAGACCCTATCTCAACATAAAAAATAAAAAGGACTGGGGAGGTGGCTCAATGGTAAAATGTTCCCACGTTCAAACCCTAGTATCAAAATGCAAGTAAGTTAAAAAACTCTTCATTTTACATTTCTACAGATTTCAAATTTTCTCCACTAAACATGACTTGTTTTTATAAAGAATTAGAAATGTAATTTTATAAGCAAATATTTTTTACATTCATTTGACATTCATTTGTTTACAGTGGAAAACCTCTTCTCTCTAGCTATACTTCCTGAAAATGTAGCTACTGAGACAACTTGTTTTTTAGAGTTTCAAACAATCAAAATGCATGCTCATCCAGGTATGCCTAGGATTGTTTCTATCTTCTGTGTACAGATCATAAGCAAATGGATGCAAGTTGGTGAATCAGCAGGAGCCCAACCTGGGAGTCAAGAAAATTGGCACTCAGGGCCACTCTGTACAGGCTCCCTCATTTTCTAACCTCAGTGTCCTTATGTACAGAATGGAGTAGAGGGTGGGCCAGTCCTGTCCTGCGAGGACATATGAATTCCACTTTTCTGTAGGTCGGCTATAAACTGTATTTGATGACATGCTGTTAGCAAACAATATGCTGAGCTTTATTAATTCCTTTCACTTATACAAAATTAACACTTTTTTTGTTTGTAGTTGTAGATGAACAGAACAACTTTATTTTATTTGTTTATTTTTATGTAGTGCTAAGGATTGAACCCAGTGCCTCACACATGCTGGGCAAGTGCTTTAATACAGAGCCACAACCCAGCCCCAAATTAACACTCTTAACTGTTCAGCAAATAAATTTTCAATGAGAATTAGGAAAACATTTATTAAAAATTTATTCACTACATATGTATATAAATTATAATATCAGAAGTACATCTTAAAAAATAAAAAAATGGGATAAAACATGATATAGTCCAAGACATTTTGATTGGCTTTTTAAAGTTTACCTCCTTAGCCTTCAATAAATAAAAATAACCCAATACACACAAGCTTGGTTTGTATTCAATGAGAAACCATACCAGAAGATTCGGACACACCGGGGTCATGTCATTCATTCAAAGATCTACTGAGAGTCCATAAAGTGCTGGTACTGGAGACACAAAGGCAAGTAAGAAATGAAGGTACTCACAATCAAGGACCGGGACAGATGTAAAGACAATCACAGAATAATGAAATAAGCAAAATAACACGATCATACAAAAGCCACAGTGAAGACAGAGAGAAGAGAACACCACATCCTGTTAGAAAAAGCCCAGGAGATGCAGGGGATGCCTGGAAGAGTCAGCAAGGATGGGGTGTGGGTGTGTGCCTAGTTTTGTTTTTAATAATCTATGTCTCTTAAGTCAGGGCAAATCCACTACCCTCGGGTGTGCTGCCTGCCACCTCACTTGCTCCCACAGGACTCTGCTTGCTCTGCTGCCCATCTCTCTGAATGCGGTACTTACCGATCCGGGTCTTGTCAACAGCTGATGGGAACAGCCTCACTTCCTCCGGAAGTCCTCGCAGCACGTGTTCAGGTACCTCAGCCAGGGTCTCAGCAGCTGCCAAAGGCTCAGGAGCGTTCTGCAAGTCAAGACAGAGAAGGATCAGAGCAAAAGGAAGAAAGTACAAGTAGAGTTTTGTTTTATTTTGTTTTTTTATCTGGTCCAATAAGTAAATATGCAAAAATACAACTGAAATCTGAAATGGGCAAATCCGAAACAATGATGCTAAGCATTTGGGCAGTAACTCTGATGCCTATTTGTTAGTGCCCAAAGGAAACCACTCAACCTTTAAGCACATCTGTGTTGATCTATTTTGGTCCTGCCACTGCAGCCATTTTCAAAATACATGAATCTTCAGCACCATAATGCTTTCTAAAGTGCAACAGAATCCTACAGAAAAATACATCTTAAGCTTAATTTAAAATCAAAAGTTACCAGTAGCTATAAGCACATTTTGAAAATAAAAATCAACACTCCCCACTTAAAAGAATAACTGTAAAAGCTATACATACCATAAAGCCTGTCCTGACTAATCTGCCAGTGCCTCACTCATGCATCTCTGTAGTGACCACACCCAACTTGACCACAACTCACATATTCTCCCCAGGAGCAGTGCACTCTTCCTGCAGTCCACACTGGAACTCTGACTTTCCAGGAAACAGGAGCTGACCACTGTATGCCAACCGCTAACCAGTAAAGCCATCCCAACATCCCAAGGTACTAGGAAATAGAGAATTTTATACAACTACTTGTCAAAGTTTGGAAGAATTCATCATAATTTAAGACACGTATGGAAAGATCTGCGCCAACTGGTAGAGCATGACTACTACTTTAAAAATAATTTTTAAGTTGATGGAAAACCAAGTGTCTAGTAACTGGTACCACATAAACCCTAAAGAACTGATTTGTTTATCACACCCCTTCTAAGAATGATGAATTTTGTAGTATGAGTATTTTATTTCACTGCAAAGAAATGTTTCAATGATTTTCAAAGGAGCCAATGTAGGCAAAAAAAAAAAAAGTTCCAAGCTAAAAAGATTAATTTTTCCCAACAACAATGAAGCTTTTATAGTTTTTAAGAATGTTCATGTGCCAAGAAAATAATATCATCCAAATTTGCAGATTTCCAATATCTCAACCTTTTTTTAAACATCAATAGCTGCTTCGAGAAATAAATCTCCCAGTCATATCGACGGTCTGCTCCCTGGCCTGTGTAGACAGCCAGCAAGTCTGCAGGGGTGCACAGACCAGGGTCACCTCTTGAGCAGGATCAAGACACCAGTGCACAAATGCCCGGTTCCACCATTGTCTTTTTTTTTTTTTAATATTTTTTTAATTGTAGATGAACATGATACCTTTATTTAATTAATTTATTTTTTGTGGTGCTGAGGACTGACCCAGTGCTTCTCACATGTGAGGCGAGCACTCTACCACTGAGCCACATCCCCAGCCCTCCACCTTTGTCTTGACAAAACCCTACACAGGCCTTCCAGACCCTGGGAAAATCAAATTGTCCCAGAAAATGGCCTCATGGCTTCAGATTACCTACACTGTGAATAAAATTAGGACTGACATTTCTCACTTCTAAATATGATATCCCTGTTTTTACATTTTTATTCTGTAAGCTGGGTTTTTTAAATGTGGATAAAGTTTTTCCAAAGGGGGAAAAAAAGGTGTTAAGTTGGTAATTATATCCAAGGATACATAATGATTATAACATTGAAAAATTAAGTGATATTAACAAACACTAACCAGAGTCGTAGAAACCCAAGCCATTTAGTACAGAGGGAATTCTCTTCCCCTTTCTGGGCTGTGATCCTGGGCAAAGAGACCTGGCACCATCTGCCCTCCCCAGGAGCACTTCCCTGAAAGGACAGCGTCTGCTAGCCCTCTTTCAGGCGCTGCCACAGTAACAGGAATAACAGCTCCACACGACATTCTGCAGACTCCCTTGGTGCGAGGTCCTGTGCTAACAGTCTTACATGCTTGATGGAGTTTACCCCAAACAGTCCAAGGGACAGGTGCTACCAGTGCCTTCCCGTCCTGCCCCTGACACTAGAAGAGGAAAGTGGGACTCAGGGAAAGGGACTAAGTTGCTCGAGCAAGGCCGGAATCTGAACCCTTGTCTAACTCTGGAGCCCAAGTTCACAACCACTGTGGGATCTGCATTTAAATCTCTGGAATATAATCTGATGATTTCTGTCCTAAAACTTCCAGACTTGCATGGAAAACTCAACAGAAGACTTCCTACAGAAGACATGGCCATGCCCACAGGAGACATGAAACTCAAGAACAAGACAGAGACCACAGAGACTAAAACTTCTGAATCACCTATGAATATAAAGAACCTCAGCAAAGCTGTCAGGCAAAAACAAGAAAAAGGAAAATTCCTATGGCTTTGCTTACCTGTTTAGGTCAACCCATGATTTTTCACATGGGCTCATACAATAATAGGATTCAACTATAACAAGGAACCTAAGTTCACAGCAACCCACTCCAGACACAGTGGCCTTGGGCCTCTCCTCCCACCTCCCCAGCTGCTGGACTCTCCACAGCAGTGGATCTGACTGCAAACTCCCTGGAACATTACTTAGAAAAAGTAATGACTTGAGAAGTAGAAGAGGGGAAGTTGTGGGATGACCAGCCTATAAAGAAACACCTTCTAGCTTTCCTTATTTTTCTTTCATAGTTCTTATTACATATTTTAATAATTATTTGTATAATTATGTGTTTAATGAGTGCCTCCCCTGGGAGCCTGCCGTGAAGACAGATGGTGTCTGTCTTGCTCAGCACTGCGTTCCCAATGCTTAACAACAGACTTGAAATGTTTGTTGTTACTCAAATGAAATACTATTCCTTAAGCTAACTTAAACTTTTCTATTAAAAAAGGAAGAGACATAAATAAATAAAATAGCAGGGTCATCTATCAGAAAGTGTTTTCTTCATATGTGGCTGAATTCTTGATTTTGAGGTGGGTATTCTTTGGGGTCAATATAGTGGTCCCTCTGTAGGTGAGAAACTGGCTCTAATACCCACCCCCATGCCAAAGACCACAAATGCTCAGTCACTTGGGTAAATGGTGAAACATACACTACATACATCTTCCCATACACTTTCCATCATCTCTAGATTATTTATAACACCCCATAAAATATAAATGCTATGTAAACAGATGTTAGGGCATATTATTTGGGAAAAATAACAACAAAAAAATCTGAACAAGTTCAGTACACAGGCAACTTGTTTTCCAAATATTTTCAACCTGATGTCAGTCAAATCCTCCCTATAGGGATATGAAAGGCTGGCTGTATAAAAATCCCTTTTTATAAAATGTTGTATGCTCTCAATTCCAAATAAACAATTTACAGGTAAATCTTTGGAACAAAAAAAGATTTAAAAAAAAAAAAACCCTCTCCCCTATACACTCATAAACTGGGCTCTCTTTTCTATGCACATCCTGATGGTGTTGAATGCACTATCATTTTCTATACAGGGTTATCTTGGTTCTTGCACTAAAGAGTCATAATTTGATCCTGGAATTATTCCCAGATTGATCTTATGTAAAAGAAACTGCAATACCTACTCAACATATTAATAGATTTCTGAATTCCTGCTGGGGCCGATGTTCTGGGCATCACAATTGGACCAAAAATGTGTTACTGGGAGAGGAAGACAGATAAACTCAAACACACACTCATAGACATACACACACACACACACACACACACACACACACAATGCCTGATCAAAAGAAAAATCGAGCATGAAAAGGGGACTCAGTGTTGGAGCAGGGATGGGGGTGCCACTCAGATAGCATGCTCAGGACTCTAGAAATGAAAAGGGACTTGTATGGTGACATGTGAGGATACTCAAAAGCAGGGACCAGATCCTAAGTTAGGAAGGAGCCTGGTGTGTTCTGCGAGCAGTCCCACGAAAACCCAAAGCATCCAGAGCAAAGGAAGTGAGAAGCACCTAGAGGGGAGGTAGGGAGAGCAGGGCTGCAGGCCACTGGCTATCTTCGAGTGAGCGGGAGGAGTGTACCATCAGAGAACAGAAGCCCAGGATCAGCAAGGGGCACCGAGCTCCTTCCAGAGCCTCCCAGGACCTCTCTGTGGTGACCCACTCTCCTGGCACCCTGACTTGCTGCCCTAATACAGGCACATTCCTGGTTTAGAGACCCTTAAATCACTGACAACTAGGACAGAGGTGTAAGTTGAAGGACTTCTCTACTCCCCTGTGACAAAGACCTCAAGGAGGCCTTACTCTTTCATGCCTAATGAGTACAGTCTCCAAACACATCGATACCGACAGGGAACAGTAAGCATCCAACCTAATGTGTCCAATTTAAGTTAATGTAATAAGCTACTTAGTTGTTAAGCATTAATTAACCTCATTAATACATATTTTCAACTTCCTACTACCTTAAACTCAAAGAAAAGCCAATATTCCCCCCTTTCCCCAACTAATGGCCACAAGCCATTCTCCTTCATTCAGTCCCTCATTCAGTCATTAACAAATATTTCCTGGGTGCCTGCTTCCGGCTGGCTCTGCTGGGCAGTGGAGACACAAAGGTTAAGCTGTCATGAAACGTGTCACCTAGGGGACCCTCTCTGTTCCCACCATTTAAGTGGTTCTCCAGATGCCACCTTGCTGGGAGCACGTGGCAGGTCCTTCGACACTTTCCGTGACACCATTCCCAGGACAACCTTCCCTTGCTGGACAGGTGGGGAGCTGAGGAGTGAACCCTTCACTGCTTCCTCTGGGCTGGGAAGTGTCTCTTTAGTTAAGCATCACCTGCACAGCGACGGTGCTTAGAGGAGCCCAGACATGCTTGTAGCACTCTGCATCGCCTGTCTGGCCTTCGCATCACCATGTGCTACAGATACTTTCACAATTCCCACTCTACTGAGGAAACTGAAACTTGTCCACAGCCACAACAAGCAAGTGGCAGCACTGGGTTATTCCAACACAGGCAGTCAGGACTCAGGGTCTGGACTCAGAAAGCAGACCCAGAGCAGCCCCATAAAATCCAGCTAGTTAAAGTCTAGAGTCCACATTTTATCACCAACCCAGTGGAGT